TCTGCATACCATGGCTGGGCATCAGCTATAAACACAGGTCTTATCACCCTGAGAGAGTGAACATTGTCTGCACAATATGCTGTTAATTTCAGTTGTTAGAGAGGCCCAGCTAAGAAGCGAAGTTACTGACCAAAATTGGTTCTGTTTTACCTCAAACCAGGACAGACCCCAAATATTTAAATCAAATATCTTTAATCCAATCTTTCAATCAGAATTGAAGCGTCTGACTTCACTTTATTCTTTTTAGACAGCACGTGTAGATGTCACTTCAGCCCCCGTGCCTGCTCGCCCGTGGGCACCGGGCTGTGCCCGTGGCCTTGGCAGGTCCTCGGCGCTTGGCCCCCGGTGGTCAGCGCTCCGGGAGGGGGTTGGTTTGCAGCGGCGAGGATGAGGAGGGTGAGGAGGGCTGCCAGCAGCGGCTCTGTCCCCCGGCCTTGCCCCTTACCCCGTGGCTGTTCACAGGCTGCGCTGTGGGTCGGGGCAGCGTGTCCCAGTGGTGCCCGTATCCCCGTGGCTTTGTCCTCGCTGCTCTGCAGGACTGCCCAAATAATAACTGTATAAAGCTCTGCTTTTTTAACCAGCTGCGTAATTTGGGGGTTGTAGGAGGCCTTGGGCAGCCACACACGGGGCGGGCGGTCTGTAGTGTCCATTGCTGCCCTGCAAGGGGTTCTGGTGCTCCCTGGTAATTACCGCACGCGCAATTAGGGTAGACGGCAGCGGGGAAGGTCTCGGGGTGCCTTACCCTCTGCGAGCCTTCAGAACCCTGCCAAATTCTCTGCCAGTCCTGTGAGACCCATCTTGGAGCTCTGCTTCAGGACTTTGGGGTTTTTCGCGCTTTCTTCACTGTTTTCTGTATTTTTGGGGCCACGGGCCAGGGCCGTGCTGTGGGGGGACCCGTTGAGGAGGGGCTGGCTTGCCCAGGGGCTGATGAGCTGGCTGAGCCGGCGGCCAGCGCTCCCCAACATTCGAACCCTGCAGGTGAGGAGCTGTAAAGTTCCAGGTGTGCGGAGGCCAGGAGTTCCTGCTGTCCTCCTCTGGAGAAAAAGGCATTTCTTTCTGAACGAGAAACTCTTTAAGAGAACAAGTACAAAAGAATCCTGGATCGGGGGTTTCATAGAACCATAGAATCGCTGAGGTTGGAAGGGACCTTTAAGATCATCAAGTCCAACCATTAACCTACCCTGACAAAACCGCTTCTGAACCATGTCCCCAAGTTTCCTTCCCTTTGAGAAAGGGATCTCTGCTTCCCAAACGGCACGACAGCAAAGGTTGGTAAATTAAAAGCTACTCCAGACCAGGGTTGGACCTAGTCCTTATTTTCTGCTAAAAACACCACTGAAAAAAACCTGAGCTGGTGAACATTTCTGTGCAGGGGAAATGCTTTCATTAATTAGGGCCTTTTCCTGCTTTATTCTGGGCTTTGGTGCCTTCAGGTGTCGGTGTGTCTCTCGCCCTTGGCCCGTGTGGGCAGGGGGGGCACCGAGACCCCGTGTCCCGTCCGGCCCCACCATCCCGTTGGGCCCCGGTTTCGGCTGGGGCTGTCGTGGGACGGGTGTCCCCTGGGCAGGGCGACGGGCAGAGCGTCCCGAGGAGCCTTTCGGCATTAATGTCGCTTTGAAATCTTTGCTTTCCGTTGTCTCGTGGCACCGGTGGGTCACCCATGGGTGGCTCTGTGTCACCTTCGCACGCGTGCCGTGAAGTGGGCAGAGCGTGACAGCCGTGAAGGGGGAAAACGCACACTTTTTGTGCTGGTTACACGGTCCCAAACTCTGGTCTGTGCCCAGGGAAAGCTGTGACGTTGTGTTGCCCCAAAGCGGTGTCCACCTCGGAGCGGCTCTGCAGCCCGGCCAACAGCAGGGACAGCGGTGAGCCTCAGACCATCACACCTTCCACCATTCTCCGCCCATGGCAGGGGGTTGGAACTCGATGATCTTCAAGGTCCTTTCTAACCTAAACCATTCTATGATTCTGTGATTCTGTGCCTCCTCCCCCCGGGCGGCAGCTGGATCCACTGCTTCGCCTGCGTCCGCTGAGCTGCGGTAGCGCCCGTGCGTGTCCCCAGCGTGATGCTCCTCGCTGGGCACGGGGGCTGCTGAGCGCGGGGGCCGGGGCGCAGCTGTGCGCCCTCTGCAAAAGCACTTTGGGAAACTGCAGGGAAAGGAGTTGGGTCGTTTCGATGTTCTTGCTCCTTATTAAGCTGAAAACTGATGCTCTTGTGGAAATAGCTCCTGTCGATCGCAGTGGGAGACTGGTTGGAGTACAAACAGCGAAGACTGCCAGGCTGGGGGATTTCTTGTTTCCCTTTTGCTCCACCGAGCAGCGATGCATTCTAAGGTTGCTCACGCTAAAAACTGTGAGCTCCGTCTGTGAAATTAGAGCTGTTTGTTTGAGCTTTTGTTTACAAAAAGCCTCTTGGCACCCTTCTGAATGGTCGCGGATCCCCCAGGTCTGCTCCACAGGGAGCTGAGCCGATTCCTAAATCCTCCTCGGGAGCGTGTG